AGGGATGCTAAATGATTTTTCCCCCCCATAATACAATCAGTTTAATGAAGTTAAGATTTATAACGGAATTTGAAATTACGTTACAATATTAGATTGTCATTTGTGTTTTGGTTTTATTTGGACTCTCAGGCATGTAGAAAAGCCTGTTATTTTTTGGTCTGATCCTGGGGAAATGCCAGGCACCCTCCCAGCAGCGCTAGGAGCCCTCAGCTCTCCCCAGAGGCCCATGTTGTTAAGGGCACTCAAAGAATCTATTGCTCGGTTCCATGGGGGAGGGTTTGATCTCTGTCCAGTTTCTTTTTCCTTTCATTTTCCTCTCTTCCCATTATCCTCCCTTGTGTCTGAGGCTGCTTCCCAAAGGCCTTTCAGACATCTACAGTCCGGTAGCAGGTTGCCTGCAGAGCTTGGAATCAGCAGCTGTAATGGGTATGGTAAGGCATTTTGGACATGGTGTCTTGAAAATCTGGGTGTCTGGGTTTCTTTGCCCTTCTGGCTATTCTAGTGATGCAGCTCCTCATTTTCTAAGTTGTTGCGTTCTCCTCTGCCCCATTTGAAACTTTTTTTCCCCATGCTTCTAAATCCCATCACTTGGTTTTGTGCTGAATCTTCTCTGCAGCCCTCCACTCTCATAACCTCTAAAGCTGTTTTTTGAGGGTAGGGATGGGGGCTGTATTACTGAAACCCTCAGGTACTCTTGGCTTTAAGCTTAATTTGCTCACAGTGTCCCTGAGCAAGGACTGGGGAGGCAGGTAGGTGTGCATTAGGTACCTCACATGCCTCAGGTGATGGTTTCATGTGCCACAGGTTCACAAACATGGGCACGGAAGCTAACAGGATGTGATGTGTAGCTGCAAGTCAGCCTTGGCTGTCTGGTGTGCAAGAAAGCCTGATTTCCCAGAACAGCAGTGCTGTGCAGCTGTACCTGGCTGTGCAGGGGAGGAGTAGGGCGGGTGGTGAACACTTGCTTAAGCACAGTTTTAAATATATTACATATTTTCTGTCAGAGGAGGTTCACTGCCCCCGCATTGCGCTGATGACTGAGTACCTGGCAATTTTCAGTCCTTCCTACAGCCTCTGGAGTTAGGACAGTGCTGTAATTCCGATCTTATTGGGGGAGAGGAGGTGCAGGGGGCTGAGTGGTTTGCCTGTCTTGTGTAAGAAATTCCTGAAAGAGTAGATCGCTGTGTCAGCCTGTGTTGTTCTACTTCTCTGCACAAAGCCCCTACCCCTTTCCTCACATCCCAGGGAGCTCGTCTCTGAGGCTTTTTGTTGACAGCTTTGTTGCTTCCTAGCCTCTGTCAGTTGTTTTTTGTTTCTGGATGATACTTTGTTTATTTGTTTGGGGGCTTTTGTTTTTTTAGCCACTTGCGCTCGCACTGGATCACACCTTACTCCACAGCTAGTGGGAGCTGAGTTTTGACTCGCTGTGTGTAGGTGGATTAGAATCTGGCCCTTGTGTAATATGCTGGGGATAGAGACTGCTTTCTGTCTCAAGCCTTGTAGTGCCAGGGAGCTCTATTCATGGCTCAGGGCTTGGCTTTGCTTCGTATAGTACAAATCCACATGTGTAAAACGGAGAATG